TGTGTGTGTGTGTGTGTGTGTGTGTGTGTGTGTGCCAGCCAGATTAAGTGAGAACATCACACAGTTTCTGTCACTTGTAATTTACAAAGTTGTGTGTGATGTACACACAGAGTCTGGTGTTTCACCCTGCTGAATGTATCATTTGAGTCTGTGTGTGCTTGCTTGAAATTGTGTCTCCTTGCCACTTTCTTCTAGAAGCTCAGCGGGTGTGCATGCTATATGGAGCGTGTGCATTCAAGTGTGTACTCGTATATGTATATTTTAGTCTAAATATTAATAATAAGATTTCAGCCGAATGACACAGCCTCTGTGACAAATGAATTTAGATTTTTTTTTTCTCTGTCTTATTATATATGGTGTGACACCAACTCAGTGTACCCTCATTTATTAAGCAACAGGAAATGTTAGGACAGACAATGAATACAGGATATTCTTGGGAAACTGTGTCATTTATGCTAGTACTGTGCTAAGAATATTATTTAGTTATTAAATTATTTATTTATTACATTTTAAAAGGTTATTGCAGAACGGTGGAAATTGTCTGTCTATCTCTCTCTCTCTCTCTCTCTCTCTCTATCTCTATCTATCTATCTATCTATCTATCTATCTTAGATAGATATGTTTAAATGTATAGTCAAATGTCTGTCTTATTTAATTTGATTGCACATTTGTTTTGTATTTTGTGCCACAAATAGTATTTCGCTATTTAAAAATTTATCACAATATTTTTTTAAGATGTCTGAAAATCAAACCATTATTTTTAAAGTCAGGAATGTCACAGCATAATGGAGTTAATCAGAAAGTGCAAGGACAAAGATAGATTCTGCAATTTTCAGAAAAGTGTTTAGAAAAAAATACACAGGCAATGAAAACACAAAATATTAATTTCAATAAAAGCAACATATTTTATTCTTTACAACCCATTAAAATGTCATGGTGATAAATGAGGGCCTGCAAATTGGATGATATTGTGAAAGACTGTGAAAAACATTTAAGAATAAAATGAATGCTTTATTTTAAAAGGTATTGCGCATTTGCACACTAAATCTTTCAAATAATAATGTTAAGTTCAGTATTCTGTTAATTGTATCAGTAAGTCATGGGGACACACAAAGCCCACAAATGGCAGCATTTCCAGAGAATGAGCCAATATATCCTAATAAAACAGAATTTTTACTCTATAACTGCAACATCTACCTTTGAATTAAATGTTCTTGTGGATGTAATTGTTTATTGTTTGTTTTTCAGAGCTTCCTTATGGCTGGGAGAAAATCGATGACCCTGTTTATGGAACCTACTATGTTGAGTAAGTTCAAGCGCTTGAGTTAACACGCACGGTTTAATGGCACTTTGGATCCTTGTGTTTTCTCACAGCTCTGTATTAATTGGTTATATTGCTGCTGTGCCATGCCCAGGCCGAAAAACAGCTGCTCCGTTGTTTCCTAATTCATTTCGCAGTGTGTTTGCATGTGTGTGCCATAATTTTTCTTGCTTAATGCACAGTCTGGGGTGAGGTGGAGCTATTTATAGTATGGCTTGCTTGGCTACTCTTCCTCCCAGGACAGAGGAGAACAGCAAGCCCAGAGCCAATAATGCAGCTGTAGTATCATGTGAATACATAACCGCACACTCTTTCAAATCATCAAAGCATCATAAATGCAGGACTGCATCCATGCCTGCTGTCCTCAGATGGCTCAGATGGGATTCTGGCACTTCACGTCACTGAATTGAAATCATACTGTAACAGTCTATCTACAAACCTGCTTTAGGTTGTTGTGGGTTTGTCGTTTTAATGATTTATTTTATTGTTTACTATCTATCTATCTATCTATCTATCTATCTATCTATCTATCTATCTGTCTGTCTGTCTGTCTGTCTGTCTAATCTATCTGTCCATCCATCCACCCATCCAATGCATTTATTATTAGTAATATTTTTTTTTAAAGCTACAAAACATAGTGTACACTCTTTTCTTTTGTCTTTGTATGGAAAGGGAGAAAAACACATCTTCAGTAGTAATTGTACAACTGTGGGTTTTATGTTGTGGAAGATGACAGCTGGAAGATCAGAAGCTGCATTTGGTGTGAAATGACTGTAATTTACTATAAATCTGTGCCTAGTGGCTTTTTAGAGGAGACACTTAACAAGAACATTATGCATAAAGCTTATCATTTGTATTTGTGTTGTATTTTCAGGTTAAACAGGCATCACTTTATCCTTACAGCCGTTATTTAATAGGACCAAGCCAGAACCACTTCCAAGGCTGGTTTCCACTTTGCCAAACCTTGGCCTAATGTGCTACAAGAAAGTATGGAACTGAACTCAGATAAAGTGCTAGGGACAAAATCCATTTGCTCATTATACTTTGATCTGTTGAATCAATTTCAGGCCTTAGACCTTAAAAGAAATCTAAAACCAATGTCTCAAAAATTGACCTTGTGGAGTCTTGGCACAAAGCTGTAATTACAAATGCCATGTCTTTACAAAAAACAATACCTCTTTTCAAAAGAATGCCTTTTAATGGAGCCTAATTGTCTTTGTACTCTCAAATGGCACGGTTTTCAGCAGCGCCTTTTAAAACAGATTGAATTAACTCTGACAGCAAGTGTTGTACAAAGAGTCAAAAGAACCATTTTTCTTCCAGATCAGAGGATGCTCTCATTACTGTCTGATCTCATTCGTACATCACTCTTTTAACAAAGATGAGGACTAACTAGGCTTATGTTTGACTCAATGACCACCGCCTTAAATGATTTGTTAAAGGGTATTAAAATCAACACTCATGCTTTCATCTATAGTGCATAACATTAATGGCTCATGTCAATTTTTGTTTGCTGGGTGGTGAATTGTTGGGAGGGCAAAATAATCTGCATTGACCAACCATGAGAAATGATACTGCAGGTTTTTGCAGAAGTTTTCAAAGTGTACATAGCAAGGAACCAGCATCATATATACATATATACAAGTTATTGTTAATGTTAATGGAATATTATAGAATGCATATGCAAGCTCAGTTAAATAATTAATAATTAATCAACGATGGCGGATGAAATCAATAGTGTGGATTATAAAAAGTTTTCATTCAATATAAATTCTTTAAAAAAAAAAAGTTAATATTAAATATTCATAACACAGTAGGCTGACGATTACACTATATTAGTGTATGCATTCACCAAATAGTTTTCCAATGTCAAAAATGCTTGTGCAGTTTATTGTAATTTTAATACATTTAAAGGCTAGATTTGTTTTTTTTTTGTTTTTTTGCAAGACAAACTATTTTACTAGAGTTATCATTCACCACTTGGTGTCCAATGTAACATCTTTGTCCTGAAGCAAAGTCATTTGAGTTACAGTATCGTTAGTAGGGCTGGGTAAAAGTTATTGATTTCTTGATTTTAATCGATTCTTAAATCCCAAGAATTGATTAGTCTTGCCTGTTTTCAATTAATGAACAGAACACTGTAGCGCTCCTCCCATCTAAATAAGTCACAATAAGCTTTGTGCTTTGTTACTTTTGATATGAAACAAAGGGCCAGCTTTACTAAACAGGGCAAATTGGCACGAGAGTGCAATTCCAATACAGCGCCGATGGGAGGGGAAGTTTCTGCAGGTGATTTATTAACAATGCGCAAATTAAAGAACACAGATGCAACATCTCATTTACATATCAACCAACGCAATATACCAAGCGCAGCGCAAATTAGCGTAGTCGCAAATAAAGAATAAAGAAGCCACAGTACGTTGAAAAGGTTTGCTAGAAGTTTTGATAGACCTGGTATTGTGTGACTCCTAGATGAGGGTTCCAAGTTGTCTTTTATTTCCTGAATCAAATTAAAAATAACATGGCTTGGCAAACGATATGTTCGTATAATTTGTTCTTCTGGCATTGAAAATAAATTAATACGTGTGGAAAAAATCCTCTCCCTTCTACCACGCACTCTCTGTTCTCTGCGGTGCCTCCTAGCAACAATAATTGCAGCCATTTCAAGTGCAAAATAGTTTGCTAGACATGCTTTTTTGGGGTTAAATAATGGCGCAAATGCCAGTAATTTGACAAGTGCAAACGTTAGTAAAACACGTTGCGTGATTCATTTGAATACTCTCCTCCCATAACTTTTGCGTTTGAAAGGGAAACTCCTACAAATGCATATTCAATAAGGTCAGGGGCAAAAATAACTGTGTCCACGCCTTTTCAGCGCTAATTCTTCACTGTGCATCTTTAGTAAAGCCTGACAGTACTATTTTAACGCCAAAAGACGGTTTGCGCTGGCGCAAGCTGTTAGTAAAACTGGCCCAAAGTCTCAGATTTCAAATTCTGTCCATTTTATTACAGTATTTAGACAATAAATACCGTTTTGGTGCTGTTTAATATGGAGTGACAGATCGCTGTAGCACCTTAAGAGAAGCGGCAGCGCGAAACGCAAGTGAACTGATCATCTCCTCCATTTTAATACCAGTTTCAGCACGAAATAAACATGAATGAACATCCTGAAGCTATGTTAAAAGAAAGATTACAATTTACCGAAATCCGTATCCTGTCTCATGTAATCGCTCAATCAGTGTTTCAACTGCGGAAAGATGCCAATATAACAGCTTGTAAACAATGTCACGTAACGTCACATTTACCTCCGAAAAAAAAACATATTCGTGACCATAAAGTCATTATTCAGCTAGAGAAATGGGGCCTCATTTATAAAGTGTGTGTATGCACAGATTTGATCTTTGAGTGTGCGTGTGCTTAGATCCACATCAATGCTTATATTTGTAAAAACTGCCTTTGATGTGGAAAAGTGCTTAGCGTCACGTCAGGGTCTGAGTAGATGTAGCTTGCTGTTCTAAATTGAAAGATTTGGATGATGACTGGTGATCTTTTATATGTTAATGACATTAATTATGAGTTGCTTACAAGGCAGAGAGCTGAAACCATTCAGTTGTGAGCAAGTTCCTCTTCAGGAACTCGAGCTGCATCGGAAGATGCTTAGGGAACGCCCTTCAGCGTGACCGGCTCTGAACCTCATGTGTAATCAGACCAATAGATGGGCGAGACGTCACGGGCGGGTGATGTAGTGACCAGGAAGCTATAAAAGCACGTGCGGTGAGACCAGCGTCAGCTTTCTGTCATTCAGCAAGCGCTCTGTGTGTGTGTCAGT